GAAAAAGTGAGGAGGAAAGTGGAACAGCCAGATGAAATGGTAATTTGAAGTAAAATAACTTTGAAAGAACGTTTTCACCATAAGAAAAACTTAGCTTGTTTGGGCCCTGGGATAAAGGCCAGTTTAGGAAAGAAAGGGAGGTGAGGTAAATACTAACTGGCTGGAGTCCCTGGAGGCCCCATTAGAGTGCCAGAATAGGGGCTCACTGCAAAAAAAAAAAAAAAAGACAAAGGAGAGGACACAGAAACAAAACTGGGGCAAATTTTTGAGAAGGAGGGACATGAAAAGAATTACAATTGATGAACCCTATTTGTTTTTTTATGGGATCCCAGGGAAAGACATCAGCTGTGCTAGTGTCTGGGGAGGCTGGCAATGGGAGCTGAGGGTGCCTAGGAGAGGCAGGTACCTGCTGTGTCCAGCCCTAAAGAGATGGATGGTTACAATTCATGGTAAAATCTGGAGCCATGGACATGAAAGGTTAACTGAGGACACAACAGCAATGCTGACACTGTGCCATAATTGCCTGCCACAGGGACAATCAATATAGCTATCTGAGTTTCCCTAGTACTGTCCAGCTGTCTAGGGAGAGAACACTTGAGACAAATCCATGGCCAACCATACTCATAGCTGGACTTGGGCAACGAGGATGTAGACGAGAGTCAACAGGTCAGTGGGACCTGAGATGCAGGTAAGTGCATCATGAGGCCAGGCAAGCCCATGGTAAGAACTCCATGGAAAGGGAGGCTGGCTTTGTGAGAATGACGCCAGGCAGAATTCTCACAAAGAATTCTGTGTGGATGAATAAGAAAAATGAGGAATGGACATTACAATCAGTGAAGTGAATCTTAGTGTTAAAGATTTGGAAAGAGGAACAGTCCTGGGATGTGACATAGTTTCCAAGTGTGAACAGGCAGAACTAGAATGGAGCTACAGGTTCAAGCCACAGGAAGTACAAAACTGAGGTCAGGGTACAGGGTCAGGTTTGTGACTAATTGTTGGTCTCCTGAGTGGGCAAAATCAGGCACACCAAAGAGAATGCTGGAGCCAGGGAGGGTCACATTCAGATGGAATTAAATGCACATTTGAGGCTGGTCTTGGACATTCAGTATGGCACTGAGGTCAGGGAGCCCAGCAATTTTAGTCAGAACTGTTAACAGCAGTCAAGGTGTTAACTAGTGTGGAGCAACCTCCCAGGTGTCTGTCTTTGGGATTTTATTTCAGTATACTTCTTATTTTATTGGGCTTTGCAGGACTTTGTCACTTAGACTATTAATTCTTAGCAGAATAGATTTGGTTTTTAATCTCTAGTGCCTAATGTCATGTCTTATGCATGACCAGTTTTTAGTGAGAAGTTTTTCTGGATGGATGAGAGGGTTGGATGAATAGATGGATGCATGAACGGATGGGTAGATTGGCAGGAAGGATGGATAAATTAATGAATAGATGGAAAAGGAAGGATGGATAGGATAAAGACGGATGGATGAATAGGATAGATTGATGGCTGGGATTGGATAGATTGATTTATAGATAGATATCATTGATGGATGGATGAATGGATGGGTTGGGTGGATGGATGGACGGGTGGATGGGATGGGTGAATGGATGGGATAGATATATGGATGGATTGGATAGTTGCATGGATGAATGAGGGGGGGATGGATGGATGAGGGTGGGATGGATGAATGGATTGACTGATGACTGCATGGATGGAAATTACTAGGAGCCCCATGCATCCATTTAGAACACTGAAGGGGAGGGTATTTCCACGAAGGCATCTCCCAAGGCGGAGGAAGGGCAGGGTGATGTTCACTGCTTACTTTCTCAGGGTACTTGAGAGGTTTTGTTTGGTGGCTGGGGACAGAAGTGAGGAGTTATGTTTGATGATAAGTTACAGTGATAGATAGTGAACAATAGATGTTAACCTTGACCTAAGCACAAAATATAGTTGTTCAATCTCTATTCCGAGGCTCTTCATACTCTCTCTCCTGAGCAATCCTAATGGCTTCATTTGTCACCTCCCTGAACACACCCTTTCCAAGTGGGCCACATTTCTTCCGTCTTCATCTTTGTACCTGTGGCTCCACTTCACACAAGTAGAATCCACAGTGCTCACTACAGTTCTAGCCTTTTCCAGGGATCCTCTCCAAGGGCTTTGCACTGCTTTTCCCAGTCAGCGAAAGACCCAGCAATATACCTTGACGGTCCTTTTATTTTCTATGTCCCACAAACCCACTTTAGAATGTAAAGAACTGTTAAACAGCTTCCATTTATTCATTGTGAAAGCTGCACATGAGCTCTAGAATGATTAAACCCTCACGTGGATCTATGTATGGCTATTTTAGACTCCCTTTAATCCCCTCTCCAACCCACAACTAGAATTATCATTTTTTAATTGGTTAAATTTGTTCATTGACAATTTAATGTGTACTTGGGGCATTCTGTTTACTCTGTCCCCACCCTTCTTTATTTCACTCCCCTACCCCTGTCATTCTTCTTCTTCCTCCTCCTCATATGACCCCTTCTCACATTCATGTCTTTTTGTTTTGTTTGTGACCCATTCATTTTTTGTTGCTGTTGTTGTTTTTTCAAGACAGGGTTTCTCTGTGTAGTCTTGGCTGTCCTGAAACTTGCTCTTGTAGACAGGGCTGACCTCGAACTCATAGCTCTACCTGCCTCTGTTTCCTTCTGTATGGAGATCAAAGGTGTGTGCCACACCACTTGGCTTGTGACTCACTGATTTTAACCAAGACTGTGTGTGTGGCCAAAGGTTTGGAGATACTCCCTGGCGTCTGATAGGCTCACCATTCTGTTACACAACTGAAGGTGATAACTATCTGTTGTATAGAACCCATCAGTGGCCAGTAGTTCATCAGGGACAGTCATCGGAGGATGATCTTTTTAAAACGTGAAGATCTAGTGAGCTCCTTTGCCTGCCTAATCTACTCCAATGATTTATAACACTTCTACACTGACACACAATTCGCAAGGCTCAATATAGTCTGGTTCCCTGACCCCAGCTTATTCTGCACTATGCTCCTTCATTCTCCCCGGAGGCTAACCGCAGTAGGTGTCTCTCTCATTCTCTGATGGGTACCACGATGCCCCCACTCCACCTCTCAAAGCCTTTTACATCAACTTCCTTCCCCATTTCATGTGAGTAACCCTTGTGCCTCCTGATCTCCGCTCAGACATGACTTCCTGGGAGACACTCCGGAGATCGCTCCAACAAGGTAAACTTCCCTTGGTCATGTTTGCCCATAGGAATACAGCCCCCACCAGTGGAGTATGTGTCTCAGCTGCAATTGTCTATTTGTACCTGTGTGATTGTTTCCCTTATGTTGGTCTCCATCATACTCAGCCCTGTGACAAACAAGGAGGACTGCTGTGTGCTTTTCTGCTAAGGGCTGTGCTTGGCACACAGCAAGCAAATATGCAATAAATATTTGTCAGGTGAGTGAATGAAGACTCCGAAGAACACCCTTTGTCTAATTAGCTGGAGTCAGACAATAAAGTCCTGTTCCTCTGGTCTAGCCACCAGGACTTGAGCACAGTGTGGTCATAGGAAACTCTCCAAGACAATGATATCCATGATCACCTAACCAGGAGTTAAAGCAAATTTCTGAGTTTATCCATCCTCTCCATGATCACATAATCAGGAGCTAAAGCCAAAATGCTAGGTTTTATTGTAATGTGAACCCTTTGGTCTGAACCGTAAATTTTACTTGCAGCTTAGGTGTTTTGTCCTGCAGTTGGGCTCTCCCCAGCTGCTCTCCTCATCCTCTCCTCCCTCCTCCCAGCCTGCCTCCTCAACTGGAAAAGACTGAAGGCCTCCTGCAAAGGTAGGGGAGGGCCCCAAAGAGGAATGAAACTGGGCTGGCTGCTCTGTGGGAGGGAGGTCGTACAATGTGGGTTCTAATTCATGGGACTGCCTGGGGGGTATTTAGAGGCTGCAGCTGAATTCCATCTTTTCAGACAAACCAGCTTTGGAAATCAGGGCTTGCTTATTGGGCAGGACAAGAAGCTATTATTAAACGTAGTTTGTTGCCTGCAAGGATGTTAATTCACCAGATTTGAACTAGCCGCCTTAGTGAGCCATCGTCGTCACCCCTTTCTTCTTTAATTGGGATGGCATATAGTCTGACTGCCGTCCTGGCCAAAGGGGCTGGAATTTCAACCCTCTGGTGTGTATGACTGCTTTCTCTGTCTTTTTGATTCTTGAATCCCAAATTCTGCTCAGCAGAAAGGGAGACCAGTTCCCTGTACAACACAGAGGGGAGTTCCCATCTTGTCCCATAAACTCGAATTGTGAAGCCTTTCAATCAGCCCCTTGTGTCTCTAGTGCAGTTCTCAGCAGCTCTAGAAGAGTTTCATGAAGCCCAGAGGCCCTGCTAGATGAAAACTGGGGAACAGATTTCTGTAACAACGATCATCCCTTTCCCTTACACCCTCCAGCTTGGATGAAAGTCTTCGGCAGAGAGTGTTCACAGTGAAGGTATCCATACCCAATAACAATTCTAAATGACACCCAAACTGCCCGCCCACTTTGGAATAGAAGACAACAAATCATCAGAAGGTGGCTGACATTGTGTAACATGTGAATCTCTTCTGGACTCAGGCCCACCTCTGTGGTTTGGGAACACAACCAACATAGCATCTCTTTTCTCATCTCCTGCGGGGAAAAGTCAACAGAGAAGGCAGCCAGAAAATAAAGGTAATGATTAATCTATCAGGTACAAAAAGGATCATTTTGAGGATTTGGGGTTATAACTCACTACTTCGAAAGAATAGCAGCAGGCAGAGACTGACAGCAGACAAGGATTAAGTCACAGCCTCTAATTGGGACAGCCTTTGCATAGTCAGTATCTCCCCAGTCATCTCCAGGAATCTGAGAGGAGCTAAGTGTTCAGTTTTGTTTTGTTTTATTTTAATGTGGTAGTGAAGGCCAAGGAACAGAGCAAGCAGGCCTTGCTGGAAAGCACACCACTGACAGAAACCCCAAGATGCCTTCTCAGAAGGAACGCACAAAGAAGAGCCTCACACAGAGGCTGACCCTGAAGAGCCGTGTAGCTAAGGAGACAGTCTCTGAGTTCCTGGGCACCTTTATAATGATTGTGAGTATTTCCTGGTTTCCCCAGTTCAGATCTAATGCCACTTTTCTGGCTGTCAAGCTGCTGGAAAAGGCATTTGTTTTGGTTTGTTTTCTTTGGTTACCACATCCAGCTTCTTCCAGGAAGCAGCAAGTTACTTTCTAGGTTGTTTGGCTATTTGGTGACCATACCATGAGAATTTCATTTGCTCTTGACGTTTATCCCAGACAGTTGATGGGAGTGGGGGATGAGAACAGTGGAGTACTCTCTTCATTTCAGTGTCTAAAATGGTTATGTTATGAAACAGTTGCTAGAAATTTCTTCTAGTTGAAGAACTGATCTGTGTGCCCTGCTTGCTTCCCATCCAGTGACTGAGTCACCTGAAATAAGCATTAATGGTCAATAAATATGAACACCATGAAACAGAATCCAAGAGAGAAGCCTGGCAAAGGCAGCATTGTCAGATCATTTAACTTAGAAAAAAATTACGAATCCATTTATTTGTTTATTTATTTATTTAGAAGCCCCCTTTCTGTGCGCGTGCGTGCGTGCGTGCGTTGCGTTGCGTGCGCGTGCGTGCGTGTGTGTGTGTGTGTGTGTGTGTGTGTGTGTGTAAAACCTGCTGGGGTTGGCTCTACTTCCACCATGTAGGCTCAAGGGCTGGAACTCAGGTCATCAGACTTGGTGGCACCTTTATCCACTGGGCCATCTCACTACCTGGGGTTGGTGTAGTATATATGTTATATATGTACTCCTGCTTTGGTTCCACACCATTTCCCTCTTTTGATTTAATTTGACCTCAGCAAATCTCTAAAGCTCTTTAAATAGACAGTTACAAGAACTTCATAGATATAAATGAAGACTGGGTCTAAGAATCGCTGCAATATTTGTTCAGCTATGAGAGAGAGAGAGAGAGAGAGAGAGAGAGAGAGAGAGAGAGAGTAGAAACTATTGTTAGCTACTAAAGTAGTGTGAGCCCTGGCCCTAGGTTCTTACTGTGTCACAAATTCTGCCATTCTCTGGGCCTTAACTCCTAGCTGGACTCTGACCTTTTGTAAAGAGAGTTATTGTCATGGGACAACCATTTATTTTGATTCTACCATTGGAGGAGGATAGGGGTAGAATGTGTCAGCTGAGTCAAGACAGGGAGAGTTAAAAGACAGTTTTGACTTCTTACCCTCCCTGATAGGAAGCTTGTACTTATTCTCACCATAGTCAAGCTCAGAATTTAGGTCAGGGCAGTTAGAAGAAAAGAGAGAAAAGAAAAAAAGGCCCTGAGTCTTCTCATTCCAGTCAGAGCTTCCTGGAAAATTGTCTTCCACCAGATATGGAGATGTTTGGGTCTTTTTTTAGATAAAGTCTCTTTATGCAGCTCTAGCTGGCCTAAAACCCACTATATAGACCAGGCTGGCTTCAGACTCATAGAAATCTGCCTACCTCTGCTTCCAGAGTGCTGGGATTAAAGGTGTGCACCTCCACGTCCATCTTGAATAATGATCTTTGACAGTCTGACCCTACAAGAGTGTTGTCACCACGGGCTGATTTCAGCCTATAGTGACTTATGCAGGAAGATGAAGCAAGACCTATATCAATTCTTAGTGTAGAAAACAAAGAAGCAACCTCAACTTCCTTTATGCAACCGAAGAAGTTTGAAACCCTCCCTTGTTTCTTAAGAATCAGTTTCATAATTCCATCCCACACTGAGGAGTTGGAAGTTGCTTCTAGCCATTCACCATTGAGATCATGCAGCCATGTGCCTTCTTCCCCTAGGCCAATATCATCCCGCCTCCAGCCCCAGCACTGGCCCAGATAGGAGGGCTTGCTGTTCTCAAGGCCAGAAATTCTCAACCTCCACCTCTGCCCTTTTCAAGTTGACCATAAAATAATTCCTGGCAACTACCCCATGTGATTATAGGTCCTAAGACCCCCATTTCAGAAGGAGTCAGCATCATACCCTGGAAGAAGGAATGCTATTACAGAGAGAGAGGCAGAGATGAATCTGGGCAGACAAGCCTTGCTGGCTCTCCACTCAATGACTTCTATTAACTTGATTTTTGGGGCCCAGAGACTCCCTCTGAGCAATGCCTCCCAGCCACAACCTAGTTGTATAGCCTTAGACAATGCTGGGACTACTTCTTCACTTGGCCCCTTCATGATTTAGTCTTGTTTATGTCTATGAAAAGACAACTGAACTGAACTGAACTGAACTGAACTGAACAGTTCAGACAATAACTGAAGGAGTGGATTCCTAGAGGGTGGGTGTGAGATCTGCACTCGTCTGCTTAGCCTCCACTCTTCCCTTCCTTTGTGCCCCTTACAGGATCCTTGACAGTAAACCTGTGAGATGCACAAGCTAACTAGTGGTACCCAAGGAGGGGGTTTTAGGAATCTCAAATTAGAATTGATCAGTCAGAAACACAGTTCAAACAGCTTGAGGTTTATCAACGGTATCTGAGGTAGGGGAAGGTCACTCCTGAGGCCCTCACCCTCACCCTGTGGGATCCTGTGCTGTCTCCAGGTGGATTGTATCAGTTCTGAGTTGGAGGCCACCTCCTTGATGTCTACTGCAAACCAGACTGTTTGGCTGCCAATGGGGAGCCATCCCACACTTTTGGTGGTTACTGTGTTCTTCCATGTTGACCACTGTGCTGTGAGAACAATTTCACCCACACAGACCAATTATTCCAGGCAGAAGTTAGACATAGACTATCTGAATGTTACATGGTAGAAAACTGAACTTTGTCTTCTAACTAAAGGTAATTTAGTCATGAACGATTAATTCCTATTTACTTCATATAGTTATTGGCTAAAGTGAAGATATAATCTAGAACTTGGATTCTCATGTTCTGTTTTGTTGAAGCCTGAAAGGGAAGTGTAAATAAGAAGTGTAAGTTTTTAAACAACAAGTCTCCATACAGCTGGATGACAGATGCCGACCCTCAAGAAGGGATCAGCCTCATCCATATTGTATTTAATGCTCTTCTCAAGTCACTGAACTCCCAGCACGTAGCAGCACTGAGGCAGGGTAGTGCAGTGGTTTAACTTCCTAAGTTACAGACCCACATGATTGCTAAAGTGCCCCACCCTCAAAGCTCAGACACCCTTCCCTCCAAGCTCAGATAGCCCTCCACTCTAAAGTCTATATATGGAAGGCAGTTCTGTGGGCTGCTACTGCTTCCCCAGCTTCCCCACTTAGTGGCTGGCACTGTCAGGAGATACCTATCTCAGCTCATTTCTCTATGAAACCTTGTAATTTCTCTATCAAATCTTTGTTATTTGAAACACACGCTTCAGCTCAAGGTCATCCCATTACCTTGTTCCTGGTCTACAGGCAAATGCAAATCTTGCCAGGCTTTTTCCAGTAAAGATTTGCCTGTTGACAAGGCCTGGGAGGAGAACATTGGAAAGATGGCCGACGCTGGTCAGGACCACTTCCCCTTCCTTAGATCCCAGGGGTCTGATGTCAACTTAAAATGTGCTTTTGTTGGAGTCCCCTCAAACTCATGCATACCATGGTTGAAATGGCCAAAGAAGCCTGTTGGTAGCCTCCAGGAAAGAAAAGTTTCATGAAAAAAGTTCCTTGTGAACTGTGGCTCAAAACAAAAAAATAACCAAGTCATAAGCTGAAGAATGAGCTGGAATTTGGCTTGTTAGACACTGGGACCTTTTAGGCATAGGCCCTTTATCCTTACCAACATTAGGGAAAGGTTAGCAATGCATCTGCCTTCTTGCAGAGGGAAGGTTGGTCATTTTGAGCTGAAAAGAAGGAGCATGTGGCAAGTTCCCAACCTGTATCAGGCTCTTTAGTTGTTTAATCAGCAAGACAGCCATATTCCTTGTTGCTGTGAGTTAATGGTTATATCAGTAATAACAAGTTGCAACTCGCAGTTAGCTTCTTTATTGTTATTCAGAAACAGTGAGGGCAAGGGAAGGGAGACATAAAGGCCCACACCTGGAATGCACAAAATGGATTTATTTCTAATTCTAGACCTTATGTTTGCCATTTCACTTCTTGTCCAAGGCTGGAGTCCCTTTGGGGAAATGTATGGTAGATCTTGCCCCCTACCCTTAGCTTCCCATACACCCGCTTTAGCATTTCATAGATGGAAGCCATGAGCTGATGGCCATAAGAATTGAATGGTGACTGAATGGCCAGCTGATGATACTGGTCATGGCACCCAGGACCTGGTGTCTTCACCTCTCCTGTGTTAAAAAAAAAAGACTGTTTATAGAGGTGAACACACATGAAATGCAGATATAGGGAGCCAAAGACCAGAATTCCTTATACCTGAGCTTGCAGCACAGGAAAAGCAAACTGCAGAAGTTGCAATAGCCCCATGCTGCACTTCTAAGCTATTTTATGGTCTTCAGCAATGAGTTTTGTCTCTTTGAATCTCAGTCCCCTTGAAAGGAGCTAACACATCACAGAGGTGAGAAGTCAATGTACATGGCATGTAAAGTCTCTGGCATCAGAAATGGTCACAGAATTTTTTTTGGCTCTTTCCCCTTTTCCTGCCAGGGAGTCCCCCATCTCTGCCTCCTCCTGGGCATCTTGAGATGGCTTTCCTCTGTACCTTCTACAAAGCTCTGTATAGACAGAAATGGGCCCCATAAGCCCACATAGACTGAAGTCTCTTCCTCTACTGAACTCCTCAGGACCTGTCATGATTTTGTGCAATTTCTCCTAGAGGTTATGTTTGCCTTTCGTTGTTCTGTGTACTTGCATCTCTTTCCATACATCTTAGGATTCTTTGATACAAAGCTCCTCTTAACTTTGATGCTGAGGGGAATATCCCAGCAAGCTTCCTCCCCAGGAAGGGCATCCTTCTGAGGTGGGAGCTACAGGTAGTGGGGAAGATCCTTAATTCTTTTCTTATTACTAAAGCTTTTCCATATTAGAGACCTATCTCTTGGCACCTAAAGAGTAAAAACATATCAACTCTAAATGAACGTAATGCCCTTGATCTGTGCCCTGGAAGGAAATCAAAAGAAATTGTCCTGGAACACAGAATACAGAGGGGTAG